TTGCGGATTTGTACATTGTTAGCAGCACTATTTTCCACATGTTCCACCACTTCGAAAAATATTTTGAAATCCAATATTTTAAGGTCTGTTTTACACTGAGAGGTGAAGAAAAAGTTTCATGATATGCAATTGCAACAGAAATTTTAATTTCCTGCCCCCTATAGTGGTTTCCAAATGCTTTTTAAACAGGTTTGGTTTTTAAAATACGTGTTCTTTTTAAACAGAGAAACAAATGTGATTTTGTTTCAGAATAATTGTTCAAAACGTATTACTTAATTTTGCTTGGGAATACATCTACATACTTATCTCGAAAGATCATTTTACCTTTTGACGGTCTTCCAAACTGTAATAAAGATTCGATGTTTATCATTATAAAAACTTGTTGAAAATTAAAAGAATACTGCACTACAATACTTGAATGTCTGAGCAATATACTCTAAAAGGCAAGTTCTAAAATCATTGGAGGTAATCTATAATTACATGCATCTCTGCACTGGGTATATGTATCGGATAATGGATAAAGTGAAGTTACCACTAAAATACAAATGCGTAATTAAAGATATTTACTAGGGTTAAAATACTGATAAATAAATTTTTCATTATTATAGACTATTTCACTCTTGAACTTGCAGTTATTACCATGGAAATGAAACTGGAAATTTCAGATTTTGATCAATGGTCGGTGACAAATTAAACAAAATAATAACTTTTTCATTACCATACCATAATTGATAATTATTGCTGCTGTTGTGTTTACAAAGAGATGTTAAATAATTTTGCTGATAACTACACACATTAGATTTTAGAAACAGTACTCTATGTTATTTGCCGCGTCACATTAATACATCAATCCTTCCACTAGGATTCAGGCTTTAGTCAAATGCAAATTTTGCAACTTGATCAGTCATTTCACTGCATTTTCCTAGTATTATTTCCATATTTCAATTTTTCAGGTTTTCCCTCTCTTTTCCAAAAAATTAGTCAACTTGTGTACAGACTTCAAATTGCCCTTTTTTTTCTCCAAGAACAAACTCAAATATCAGTATTCCGTATAGAATTCATCATCATCATCATCATCATCATCATCATCATCATCATCATCAAGGCATTATTCATGGCATACTTTCCACAAGTTGGAGCTTCACGTCAACGTTGGTGTATTTTAATGCATTGATTTATTCAATGAACAGACGTTTGGATGAAATTATGTTCTTTTTCAGTTTATCCTTCATATAGCTACAAAGGTTTTCTGTCGGGGCTTACCCCTGGCCATGGATATATGCTAATATCCTTCTCCACAAGGAATTCTAGGACGGATTTTTTTTCGTGTCATGGTGCACAATAAACACACAGACCATGGCCCCCCTGAAAATTTAGAAAGTGGCCCCATAGCCTCGCATAATATTTTTTTCATAAATGTGTTAAATCTCTGATAAAAATTATACATAGAATGTATGGACAAATTTTACAATTTATAGTGATTGGCTTTCGTTTATCACTCTCGCGACGTCGGAATCGACTCGTTACAACATAGGATAAGACCCCAATTTGTTGGTACTAGTGGTCGAAATCACACCGTAATTAATTATAGTTTAAATTTTTAATGTTACTGAAGATCTTTTGTCAAAGAGACAAAACCTTTATTATTATTATTATTATTATTATTATTATTATTATTATTATTATTATTATTATTATTATTGCATTTGTAAAACTTTTGTTATATTACGTCATTCGCGTGTGTTCTTTGCCTAAATTTCCTGCTATAATTCTGAAATTTAAAAACCTGTGAAAACAAGATCACTGAGGTCCTCGCCCTCTCCTGCACGATTCAGATACACGAAGGAAATTGGTCTCGTGACCTCAAACGCTAACAGAGCAACGTCCTTCAAAAACCAAATAAAATGTCTCCAGTTCCGTTTGTTTATGTGTTATGTTAAGTGAAAAAATAACATCACAACGAACTTAAGTAAAAACTAATATCGTTCACTTGCGAAAATTATATTTTTATTATAATTGTTATTCCATTTTCACAGAAATTTATTCCATTTATCCAGCTACCACACAGATGCAACATCAAAGCATGGTAACTGATTTATTTTACTATTACAACAATATATAGTTAATATAATACCATATATAATATCAAACATGAAATTACAATACAATAGCTACATTTAAAATGTCCAATATGTCCCAGAATCCCGTATGTCCTTCCATGAACTTACTAACCAAAGACCACGTACCGATGATTGACTTTTGAAGAGCGATGATAACACACTTGTCCATACCAAGATAGTATAACGATCTACAAAGAATGGTACGTTTCCGGTTGCTGATAGGACAATTGGAAAAGTTTTAACGTCTTCAACATGCCACTGTTCTCTCCCTGCACATGCTAGCACTCGGTATTTAACGATTTTTCCTTGATATGTAGTCATATGTCGCTGGTATTGACGTCAAAATCGATAAACCAAACTTAACTGGCAGGTTTATCCCAGAGTGTAACATCTGGTCTATTGTGATGGATTGTTCTGACAGAATACTGCAATCCCAGTACAACTTATGGGACTCTCTTTCAACCACCGTTTCTGGATGATACAGGTAGTACGGTGAAATAATGTCCTGCAGGAGTCTGCATTACTTAGCGAGCTTGGCATGGATGATCCAGCCCACTAGGCCGTGTCTCGTTTTGTTGGGGCTAGAGCACTGCAACCCGATAAGATATACCGGATGGTTTTATGATCCCGCCCGCACATTCGACACTCATCACTATATATTTCCGAGTCTTTAATTATGTATTTGAGGTAGTTTTTCGTTGGAACAACCTGATTTTGAATTGCCACCATAAAGCCTTCACTCTCAGGGTACAAATATCCTATGCTGAGCCATTTGGACGACATTTCTCCGCATTTGGATTGGCAACTGCAGTAGAATATGCACCGTGAAGGACTTTCTGTTTCCAGGAATATATTTTTTGTTGAAAAGATGACTGTCGGATTGATATATTTTGTTGTTTGGGATTTAGGGGAGTATAGTTCATTTGCCTGTACGACCACCTTGCGGAGTTGAGAAGTATTCGCTTTCTCTGCAAAAATACTTTCCATCTATTCCTGGCTATTATCTGCTTAGCGTGGTGGTTTGACAACTTTACGATACCAAGCCGTCCATTCGTCGTCATTCTCTAAATAGCGCTTCTTGGAAGGTGGCAACCAACATGTGTCATTTGCACTCGCACCTGTCTTTCCATTCCTCTAGGTCTATCGAGGGCCATTTAAGAATACCCATCGAAAATGTGACAATGATTGAAAGTCATCCAGAAGTGCTGAGAGTGGGTTCATGGCCAGACAAAATCAGTACGGACTCAGACTGTCACCTTGGAAAATGCCACGCCTTATGTTTATTGTATTGGTGATCACTGTTTCATTTTTTGCCGCGACACGAATAGCGGTCTTCCATTTGCCCGTGGTGAATTTGAGGAAATTCACTATCGTTGGATTAATATGGTACAGTGACTCTGTAGAGCCCCGAATCGTGCGATACCATGTCATAAGCCTTCTTATAGTCTGTGAAGAAGTGAACAAGTCGTGTCTCTTCTTACATGCTTGAGACATGATGACGCTGTCGATAAGTTGTTCTTTACATCCGAAGAAACATTTGCTGCATTTTCCGCTTTGATATTGTCTAATTGTCTTTTGGACAGGGTTTGTTGTTTATCCGCTGTCGTCTTCAGGTACATTGTCCTCCTTTCCTGGGCTAAAAGGTCCACTGGGGATACACTGGCCAGTACTAAGGCTAAGGCTGCACTGTCCGATACCGTGCGATATCCTGAGATTATCCTTAGACCCACCCTTCTCTAGATCTGTGTATTATTATTATTATTATTATTATTATTATTATTATTATTATTATTATTATTATTATCATCATCATCATGATTACTATTCTTTTCACGAACACAAACGCAAATACGCAGTAACGTATTTTTTCTTCTAAACGCTAAGCTTGGAATAAGACTTTTAAAAGTGTCGTATTTAAATAAGAGCAGAGAAAACAAAACTCGTGTCCTCGCGGGATCAGAAAAATCCGATTTTAAGGCTCTAAAACGTAATATTTTCTAGGTTATGCATGATAAACGATCGTAGTGATTCTGCGGATTGCGGGTTGCATCTGCACAATTCGTTATATTGTTTTTATTTAAACTATTTGTAACACATATTACATATGCATTTTAATTTCCTGAGTCCCTCCATATCAGAGCTGTTAGCGAACGGGCTTGGGACCCCAATGTTCAAGGCCCCGATAATTCTTTAAAAAAATATTTATACTATTTTTTAAAAAATTAAAGTAAAGAAAGTATAAACAATATGTATGGTTAAACTATGCGCAAAAAATTGGCATAATGGAGTGGTGTGGCGCGTATCACTGAATAACATTTATAATACGGAATGTTGCTGGTTGATGCGAGAATGTCACTCAGTTATAAGTTAAGTTGTTTTTTAACAAAAACTTGTCTTTATTTAATTTGTAGTATTTTTCTAAGTAATTATAAATCTGTATTCTTACTTATACAAGTATGTTTAAATTGAAGCACTACGAAATACTTTAAAATTGTGTTAAATATAAAATACAATGTAAATTGATAGATTTTCTTTATATTTCAGCATCGAAATTGGGAGGGGGGAATCGGTGAAAGAAGCAATGGGTGTCCCCATTGTAGTAGACCATATATATGACCCAAGGTCCCCCAACGCTGTTAAAACAGCCTTGCTCCATAAAAATTTCAACTATGCCAAATTTCACATTCCTCTGTGGGTGCAATGTGGTTAAAATGGGGTACAAAGTTTTCTCTCCACGTACAGTGACAGATTAATAACAGATTACAAATTGTTTTTCAGTCAAAAATCGACACTTTCTTTCAACGTTACATATCTTTCTCTTCCTACAAAGTAGACGAAAGAAAGTAAAAAATGCGTCAGAAAAATATTCTAAGAACTTACCAAAAGAAACCACTTTTCTCACCATATTTTCCAATTCTTCTTTCAACAGAGGAAGTTTGCACTGAACTGCAAGACGAATACAATCGTCGACTGTGTCTATATGCGCTTCCAATCTTCCACAGTAAAGATATTGCAACAAACACTTAAAGGCACTGGGTTTGACCTAGAAAAATATTGCAGGAATCAAAAATGTCTAATGTTTATTATTTATAAACACAATTAGTATACTACAAAAACTTACTAGATAATTACTTATAACTATAGTTGATCTGTTTTTCCACTTATTCTCAAATTTTTCGCAGAAATAAGAGCATCTTGCAGCCAAAATGCACTTGTGAGCAAAGAATTTACTACCGTGAACAATAAATGTGACATCACTTAACTCTCCCAATTCAAGTAACCTGAAGAATCAGACATAGACATGATAACCTTATTTCAATGTCATTTTCATGTCAAATAATTAAAATACATTGACAAAAATTAAAGGAAAATTAATAATTACCGACGTAAGAATTCATGGTAGCTATCACGTCGTATAGTTTGACTAGTCACAACCTTGTATTCAAGTAGTACTTTGCGAATTTGATCTGTAAGAGCTCCATACAGACACCTCTCCCCATCAAAAGAATTTGCTTCACAGCGAGCCCCAGAAGCTAGAAGATACTTCACTATATCTATATGTCCACACAAACAAGCATAATACCTGTGACAAAAGGAATTCCTCAATAATACAGAATTACAAGCGTTTTTGCATATGTATGTACCAGTAATACTTACAATGGTGTACTATCCCATTCATCCCGAACATTTACACTCACATCTTTTACTTCCACTAAATACCTAGAAAGTGAAATGCAATAAAGAGAAAAGAATTAGATAAAACACTTTTTTTCAACAACAAAAAAAAAGGTTCCTTACATTTTCTAGCGCGTATATTATAAAACATGAAATAAGATTGCAAGACTTTTTTGTATTACTCTGGTATTATCCGCGCACGTTTTCTTGAGCCCTCATTTCGCTAGACGTGCAAAGGGTGGGGAGATTGGTTACTTCAACGACAGGACTAATATATCAAATCTTTCATTCCTTTTTAGATGGAAAATATTTTGTATTACACATAAACGAATATTTCTGATTATCAGATGATGTGAACAACCCTCGTTATCATTTATTCTTAATACAACTAATGTGAGTACAAGAATACAAATTCCAGGGATCAAGAAAACGTGCGCGTATAATATATATGATAACCGTGAGTAATTTTAAAAATATTCTTTAAAGTAGTTAAAACTGTGTAAAGTAATTTGGGAATTTTTGTGAGCATTTTCAAGCTGCTAGAAACTGTTTACCTTACATAAATTCTATATATAAATCCAAAACTTAGTAGTCATGGCCACTATTTTGACAGTACACATTCTGCATAATATAATAGAGCCATTGTTCAAATACTTGGAATACAATTTTCTCTCTAAAATTGAAGGACCTGGCGATACATAGCCCTATGCAATATCCAGTTCATATCAAGAAATACAATAGTGTGTCAATCCGAGGTCCTTTGCCTAAGAGTAAACTAAGAGAGTGTTTTACACCTGCACACGTCAACTACTGAAGTCATTAGTCCCACAAGAGTAGTGTAGGTTATATCCCAGGAGATGGCAGTGTTCCATCTCTCCAAGTAGCACTTCCAGAGGAACACTGACTCAGTCAGGCCTCGCTTAAGCACCCTTGACGTCCGTAAGTTAGCGTAGGTAGCAAGTTTTTAAAACAAATTGAAATTAATCTCACAATTTGTTGCTCATTTGTTACGTAAAAGAAATTGTCGGTCTTCATTTGATCCCCTATACAGATTCTGCAAGCTTGACACCAACTTAGCACGACAATTACAAGAAAACCAAGAAATTACAAATAAATAAAAAATATACATAGGAATTTGTCGCTTTTTTGTTGCTCATGCATTACCAAAAAGACATTTCGTTGATCTTCAACTAATACCGCAAACGCTAAATTTCGGCAAATTCATATCAGGAAAACTAACGGTTACAAGAAAACCAAGATATTACAGAGATCAAAAATAACTACATAGGAAATTGTCGCATATCAGTTGCGAAAGTTCCCAAAAACCTTGTGTGGCCCTTTAAATAATACCGGAAATGCAATTTTGCACTAACTTGGGTGTCGAGTTAGCCCGACAAATACAAGAAAATAAAGAAATTACAGAAATAATTGTCGCTTTTTTATGTTAATTTTCCAAACAATATTCGTTGCTCTAAAACTATTACCGTAAATTCAAAATTACGCTAAATGATATTATGAAGACCGAGAATTTCTGTAATTTTTGAAAAAACGAAAGAATACGTCAAAGTGCCACTTATATCACGTTATTCAAACCGTTGAAAAGTTTTAAACAAAAAATAGTAGTTTTGGAGAAATAGTTTGGTTTCTGAAAATGCGAAATTTTGAGCTAATTTTCACAGAAAACTGCCAGTTTTCGAGAAACTTTGTACATCATTTAAAACACTTGTACTCAAAAATGTAATAATGTATACCAATAGCCCGTAATGTATACACATTGTAGCGATGTTTACAGCACTATCTTGGCCGTATATAGCATCCAAGGCGCCATTTTGAATTGTCTTGCCAAGTGTCTTGTAACGTATCTCTTCTTTCTATTGCCGATGTTACACCATCCTTCCATTTCACTCTTGGCCGAACTCTTTTCTTCCGTCTTGCTGGCGTCCTTAAACGGCGGTCCATAAACCTTTTTGGGCAGTCTTTCTAAATCCATCCTTTGTAAATGGACATTCCATATCTTTTTCGGCACGAGTTAAGCATTCTTCTATATTTATTCGTTGTTTAATAGTCTCTGTTGCTAAATTTGATAAGTACAAATTTGTTAATTGTCTCCAAAGCATCATCTCCAAAAAGCGTTTTCAACACTTTTTTTTCTCCTTCAGAGTCTGGTTAAGTACAGAAATTTCAGAGCCATATATTACTGTGCTCTCTATCAAAGACTTAAACAGCTGGATTTTTGTTTTAGTTCTAATCTCCTTACTTCAAAATAGTGAAATAATTTATTGCTCACACTGCGTTACAAATTTTGAAAAAACTTGCATACTCGTAATTTTTGCCTCTATTCATTCACATCGTTTGATAAGAACATATTTGTACTTTTGTCCTATCACGTACTGTTTTTTAAGAACGGTAACGAACAAACATTAGTAAAAACATCAAAAAGTAGACGTCCTGTGTTCACATTGCTTTATTTAATTACCAATTATTCGAGTAAAACTACGACAAAACTTATAATATGTTTAGACACACAAAAAATAGAATATATAGTATAAACTACACATTGTACATAACAAATTTTTAAAAAAATTAACTTTTTCTTTCATATATGTAGTATCATCTTGCTAGAAGAAATCTCCCAACACAGCTGCAACTAAACTACCTTGAAACTGTTTTCTAGCCTTTTTACATCCTGGTGAATCTGCTCTCCTCTTTTGTCATACACAGCTTCAAGATTGGAAGAGCAAAAGAGAAATGGAAATTAACAAAATGAATTTTTAATGACATCCTGTAACCCATCTTTTTACTTGCATTTAACAAATTGTTAACCAAATATTCCACGTCTTCGACTATGATTACCTAAAAAAAAATATATTAGGGCTTTAAACGATGTTTTTGCGTATAGTTCTTTGTCAGTTTTTGATCTATATTTTGTTTTTTCATTAAAATGAGTATTTGTAAAATGACAGAATGCCCTTCTTTTAACCTCGCGTCACTTAATTTTAAAAAAATTGACTTTATAAAAATCTTTCACCATTTTTACTTTCCCATACACATACGTATATACGAAGAAATAGACGTAATAGAGAAAGTTATATAATGCTACCGAAAATAGATTTAGAGATTTCAACGGAAATACACGTTTTGGGGGGGCCCTGATACCGATTTATTTTCTTTCAAAACGTCCGTCCGTCGGTTCGTCTTTCCGCGCCCCTTACATACTTTTACATTAAAACACAACCACACGTGTAGCGAACCCAGTCGGAAGCTTAGAACTTGTCCCGGTTGGGGCGGTGACACGTTGGTGGGAAATAGCCAACCAGCCAAACTTGCCAACCTGTGAGGGAAGATCACCACCACATCCCGCGATAAAAGATGCTTATAATTAGATCCAGGATATGAATACAAATGCATAAGGTCAAATAATACGGAATAATAGAAAGAAGAGGAAGAAGAAAAGGAAATGAACAAAACGAAGAGGAACAGGAGGGAGAAAAGGAAATAGAACAGGAGGGAGAAGAGAAAGACGAAGATGAAGATGGATTCATTGATAGTGATTCCGGGCGCAACAACTTCTAGGGGTCGTAATCACGTAAGTGTAGTATGTAGTTATGCTTAGGAGGTGGCGGTGGTCTCCCCCGCTGGATGCGGCTACGACCTACCATCGGCTAGCGAAGTTTTCCCTCAACCAGGTATCTTCCACCAGCGGGGCAAGCTCTAAGCTCCCGACCGGTCTCCCGGCCTGTGTGATAGTGTAGAGTTTGTAGAAAATCCTGCCACCGTCCGGACTCGAACCTAGAACATCTCGGTCACAGGGACTGCAGTGACTTCAGTTGATACAACGCGCCATCTCTCCAGGTATGGAGATGAAATGGAAGATGATGAAAGTGAAGACCGGCTTAAATAGCTCAGTGCATCAATTGATGACATTGCAATGCATCTGACCGGAAACTCATTAAGAGAGCCCCGACGTACAATGGGAAAAAAACAAGAAAATCTGGCCAAAGTCTAAACCACGAATTTCTACAAACATGCTTGTGCCACACTCCATTTTCTGGGACAAAATTCTGATTTAAATGCTGTTAATATCGAAAAACGTGAGTTACTGACAGCATTTTGACGTTCTTGCAAAGTTACCTAAAACTCTCTTGATATGGGTGCGATCTGTAGGCGGTTAGCGAGCGCGCATTCTATCGTGCATACCTTGGTTCAATGAACGTATAATCCATTTGGGAAAGTCTCATATTTGTAGGTGTGATCCCTCTGGGTACTACTTAGGACCCAGCAGTCACTGAATAACAACTTCAAGTACGAAAGAATAATGTTATACAAAAATCACAGTGACAATGAAAATTCCCAGCGTCAAATTGTATTTTTTTTTTTTTTTCATGAAGAGAGGAGAAGACGGTAAACTAGTGAAAACAGCAGAAGAAACACAAGACGAACTTGGACAATTTTTTTATTACTCGTATCAGGTGACCAAAACCAGCAGTGCACGTTATTCATCGTTCTCACTGCCCAACATATTTGCGGCATTAATAAGTATGGACGATTCTCACTTTCTTGATGAAACTTCACTTGACTCGTCACGAAAAGGAATTCTGAAAACTAGTTTTTCACACAATAATTTAACTTTTTTTACGTCAAAATTTAAACTTCTCGAGAATGCTGGCTGTAAGAACCTAAATTACACTACTTCTGCAATTATAGATTTTCATATTAAGAAAATGCAAATAATAATAGTATTGATATTATTAGTCTATCTGTGGTTACAACTTCACAGAACTACGTACGTGTTTCGCAGATTCCTCTGATTACACAACTGACTCAGTATATCTGAGAAAGAAGGCTGCTTTTTCAGGCAGACCCTAGGAGTGTCAGTTGTTTATAAATAAACTTAATAGTCGCAATTCGTTATAAGACTTCCATTTGAGAAAGTATGTGTGTTTCTGCGATTCATAGCATGACACAAGGCTCACGGTTGCATTATGTTTGGACGTCACGATGCGTCGTGTCATTGGCGCCCCAAGTAGCGAGTCCGGCGGACAGCC